AATTCGACAAGAAGTTATAACAATTCTAAACATACATGAGTACCCCAATGTATAAAGCAAAATATATTTCTTTAAATTTTACTTTAGGTGCATACTATATCTGGTATTTCTCCCCATGTTATCCCTCCGCACCCTCCCCTACCTCCCCACCCCACAGTGTCTCTCTCCTACCCCCGCCAACTGCCCCCAGTGTGTGATGCTCCTCTCCCTGAGTCCACATGTTCTCATTGTTCAACACCCACCTATGAGTGAGAACATACAGTGTTTGGCTTTCTGTTCTTGTGCCAGTTTGCTGAGAATGATGGTTTCCAGATTCATCCAAGTACCTACAAAGGACATGAACTCATCATTTTTAATGGCTGCATAGTATTCCATGGTGTATATGTACCACATTTTCTTTGTCCAGTCTATCATTGATGGGCATTTGGGTTGGTTCCATGTCTTTGCTATTGTACACAGGGCTGCAATGAACATACGTGTGCATGTGTCTTTGTAGTAGAACGATTTATAGTTCTTTGGGTATATACCCAGTAATGGGATTGCTGGGTCAAATGGAATTTCTATTTCTAGATCCTTAAGAAATTGCCACACCGTCTTCCACAATGGTTGAACTAATTTACACTCCCACCAACTGTGTAAGAGTGTTCCTATTTCTCCACATCCTCTCCAGCATCTGTTGTTGCCAGATTTTTTAATGATTGCCACTCTAACTGATGTGACATGATATCTCAGTGTGGTTTTGATTTGCATTTTTCTAATGACCAGTGATGATGAGCATTTTTTCATGTTTGTTGGCCTCATATATGTCTTCTTTTATAAAGTATCTGTTCATATCCTTCGCCAACTTTTGAATGGGATTGTCAGCTTTTTTCTTGTATATCTGTTTTTGTTCTTTGTAGATTCTGGAATCAGCCCTTTGTCACATGAGTAGATTGCAAAACTTTTTGCCCATTTTATTGGTTGCTGGTTCACTCTAATGACTGTTTCTTTTGCTGTGCAGAAGCTCTAGAGTTTAATTAGATACCATTTATCTATCTTGGCGTTTATTGCCATTGCTTTTGGTGTTTTAGTCATGAAGTCCTTACTTATTCCTATGTCCTTGATGGTTTTGCCTATGTTTTCTTCTAGTGTTTTTATGGTGTTCAGTTTTATGTGTAAATCTTTGATCCATCTGGAGTTAATTTTAGTGTAAGGTGACAGGTAGGGGTGCAGTTTCTGCTTTCTGCACATTATCCTACCTCAGCATCTCCAGAGATTACAGGCATGCAGCACCACACCTGGCTAATTTTTTTGTATTTTTAGTAAAGACAAGGTTTCACCATATTGTCCAGGCTGGTCTCAAACTCCTGACCTTCTGATCTGCCCACCTTGGCCTCCCAAAGTGCTGGGATTACAGGCATGTGCCACTGCGCCTGGCCTGCTCAATTTTTAATGATGATGATTTTATACCAAGAGAAAAAGAGAAGTGATTTTATATTCGCACTCTAGGAGAGAAAAAACGAGTTAACTAAAGCTGAAACTGAGCTCAGTTTCATTGAGAAGCATCTCACTATCCCTTTCTATCTCAAAAATAAAAGTTTTATTTACTGTATATTTCTAGATTCTGGAACAGAACACATAACACACAGTATTTGTGACTGGTCATGATGAGAAAATGCTACACCCATGATCTCGATCACTCCAGCTCATCTTAACACACTATTCAAGAAAGCACTAATGTATATTGACATGGAAAAATCTCCAGGAACTACTGTTAAGTGAAACAAGTTACAGATCAATATATAAAATATGATTCAATTTATTTAAAAACACATGCAAAGCCAGGCATGGTGGCATATGTTTGTAATTCCAGATACTTGAGAGGTTGAAGTAGGAGGTTCCCCTGAGCTCAGAAGTTCAAGACTAGCATGGGCAATAATGAGATTCCATCTCAATAAAATTAAATTAAATTAAATTAAACTAAAGCACATGCACGAATCAAAATAAATACATCTGTATGTGAAAGTACACCTAAATAATATGCTCCAAATTCAACAGTTTGACTACCTCTGGATCAGAGGGGGAGTGGTTGAGGGGTAGAAAGCAAACTTTCTATTTGGATTTCTATCTGTAGTATTTGAATTATTTACAACAAAAAATTATTTTTGTATTGTTAGTGGAAAAAAAATTTTTAAGGAAAAAACATCTGGACAATTCTTTTCTGTGATACAGAATCAAGGGAAAAAATACATTCAATTCTGTTAACCTAACATATACCTTTTCTTAGAAACCTACTGGAGAATATGCTCCATCGAAATGATAGAAGAAATCAAAAATGACTAAAGTGTGGGATACAGAAAACAGGAACCAGCATAACAGCGATGCAAAGTGAATCAATCCCCAAATGATGGTGAAGAGAGAGCCCAACATAATAGCTGTACATCAAACATCAAGAGCAACCAGTCTGAACTGGCAAAGCAGATAAGAATGCTGTGTTAGAAATAAAACTGATTAAAATAGCTGTTGCATTGGACCTCTTGAGAGAAGATTTAAATAACAGGCAAATAACTTGTAATTAAATTGGTGAAAACGCTGCAAACACAGAGAGACAACTCTGAGAACAAACAAGAAAGAAAGGGAAAGTAATGATTGTATGCTATATAACTCAGCTCTAAATAGCATATAGGGAGGCAAAATAACGTTAACCTAAGAACTAAATATTGACCTAACCAAAAATTATGAGATAACTATATTCAGAGGATCTATAGAAGGAACAGGTAGGATGCATGTAAGTGATAGTGGCAGGAAAGCAGAAGAGTTAAATCCACACATTTCATGCAGGAAAGCTAATACATGATGAGTAAACCTGAAAAACTAAGAAGAGGCAATTACAAGGAATATCTAGAGATATAGACAAACAGTAACTAGCTAAATAAGATGAACATGATTACCTCTCTTAAAAGGTAAGAAATGATGGAGGGTTCTACTATTTTCAGAAATTAACTTTATTGAAGTAATTGATTCTGAACAATGAGTACACAAAACTTTAATAAAACCAAGAAGAAAAAAAGGCACTACTGAGACTCACATCATAATATTTTACCAAACAGTGATGGATTTTAGAGCAAACAGTTGCCATGTAGACTTCTGATGTGCCACAAAGAAACAACAGAGTTATAAGTAGGATGGTCACTTTGAGTTCCAGCATGGTTATGATTCTACCACAAGTATAATGAAAGTCACCCAGATTATTTGGGCTGTTTATACTGAAATCTTATGATTTAAAACACAGTGAGGCCAGGCATGGTGGCTCAGGACTGTAATCTTGGCACTTTTGGAGGCCAAAAAGCATTGCTTGAGCCCAGGAGTTCAAGACCAGCCTAAGCAACACAGTAAGACCCCGGCTCAAAAAAATAAATAAAATAAAATAAAAAGTAAGAAATTTGAGGCCAGGTACGGTGGCTCATGCCTGTAAGTCTACCACTTTGGGAGGCTGAGGCAGCTGGATCACAAGGTCAGGAGTTCAAGACCAGCCTGGCCAAGATAGTGAAACCCTGTCTCTACTAAACATGCAAAAAATAGCCGGGCATGGTAGCAGGCACCTGTAATGTCAGTTACTTGGGAGGCTGAGGCAGAGAATTGCTTGAACCTGGGAGGAGGAGGTTGCAGTGAGCTGAGATAGTGCCACTGCACTCCAGCCTGGGCAACAGAGCAAGACTCTGTCTCAAAAAAAAAAAAAAAAAAGAAAGGAAAAAGAAAAAAAGAAATGGGGGGAAAAAGAGTGAAGCCATATTTCACACACAGTATTTACCAAATTCCTGATAGTTTTGGAGTAGATGTCTTAACCAAAAAATTAACTATGATAGAGAATTGTAAATAGGCAAGATAAAACCAAAACTTGTGGCAAATTGCAACATATTGCATGGTTCTTTCCCTTCTCCTCTGGGATAATCATCTCAAATGCTGTTCATGTCCTTGTCTATCAAGACAAGTTTAATACTATCAAAGGGTACTAGTCCCCAGTTTTGGCCCAAAAAAACAAAACTACTCATGCTAACTCCTACCCCAGATGGTTACCACGCCTGGTGAGAAACATAAGAAACAGCCAGATTCTTAAAGTCAAGGCCAGATTCCAGTCTGGCCAAAATAGCTACTGCTTTAACAGTCCTGTAAGAACCCAAAGCAGACCACAGTGAAACATCAAAATTTGTATACAGGGGGAAAGAAATTGAATAACTCGTTTCCCACTTTAGCAATTAAAGGTGATCATTTCTCCCTAGAACAAATAATCACAATCATGTGTATGACTAGAATATCCATGTTCTCAGTGTCTTAAAGCACTGACCTGAGTTAAAATCTCAAATCTACTTTTCTCCTTTGGCTTCATTTTCCTCACCTGTAAACCGGTGGGGATATAGGAGAGAAAGGATACTTGGGCTTTATAGGATTACTGCCAGGATGAAATAACTAAGAATCGCAAACTCTTACAACCCGTTAAATAGCTTAGGCATTATTCTAAGTGTAAATGACATAACAGCATTTCTTTTCATCCTGAAACTGCAAATCGTATTATCCCATTTTCCAGATGAGAAACCCGAAGCACAGAGGTTAACTCGCCCAAGATCCCAGGTAGTGATGTGGATGGGATGCTAATTCAGGCCACCTGGCTCCAGAGCAGGTGCTCTTATCAGAGCTGGCTGAAACGAGCTAACGTTTGCTAAGCAGCCTGTACTACTCCTGAAATACAACGTGCTCAATAAATGATGTTTATTTTTCAAACGTAGTGTGAGAAGCTCCAGATAAAATAGGCGAGACCAAGGAATGCCCAGGATCTCCACTACTCTCCCAAGCGTCGCCAGCGCTCTCCCAGCAGCCAGAAGCGCCCTTCCTCTCCAAGCCCCCAGAACTTCCTGTTGCGCCCCAAGCCAGCGGTGGAGGAGCCAGCGCTGGGGCTTGAGGCTGCAAGTACCGGCGGCGCAGCTTTGGGGAAGGAAGCTGACTGGGGCGGGGCGGGCGCTTACCGTAACCCGCGCTGTCATCGCTCCGGGACTCCAGCACGGGGCGCACGCGGACGCTCACGGGCGCGGAGGGACTGCGGTCTGGGCACTTCTCCCGCCGCCTCAGAAAGCCGCGACCCCTGGCTTGTCGGGGTCCCAGTCTGCGATCCGCGCTCCTGGCGGCTCAGAAATGCACCTTCTCTCCTCCCGGTTCTCGCTCAAGCCACCTCCCAACTCCTTTCCCGCGGGCTCGGAGCGGAATCACAGAGATGCCTCCTCTTCCGGGGTGTTTCCCACCGCCCCAAGCGGAACCCCCGACCCCCACTAGGTTTCCACTCGGACACCAACTCCGCTGCAGCCGCATCCCAGCTCTTGAAACCGGCGCTGAGGGACCTGCCCTTTAGCAGCGTGTATTACCTCAGATATGATAATCATCTTTGGGCGGAGACCAGAGAACTTCGAAAGCTGGTATTTCGTAAATCTTAGCTATTCTAGATTCTCATTAGATGTAGTGTCCCTGGCCCCACCTGCTTCTAGCTACGGCCGGGGGTGCAGATCTAGTGAATCGCCTAACGTCCTTGCTTCCCGCCAGCCGGGCAGCCTGAGCTTACCTGCAAGAGCTCCAAGACAGGTTGTTCTTTCATTTTTGATTTGCAGGCCCTGCTCCCAAAGCCCTGTCTGAGCTTTTAACTGTAGAGGGAGAAACTCTGGGCTCCACCTCCACACGCTACCTTTTACAGCCCAGTGGATTTGTCACAATACCTTTCGGCTTCAGTTACCTAACTGCCTAAAAAAGAAAGGAAGTGACTCCCACCTTCCTTCCATAATAAAAGTATAATGAGGATCGAATGGGATGGCCACTGCCATCACAAACATACTTTGCATCCTCGACCTCCCAGGCTCAAGTGATCCTTCCACTTCAGGCTCCAGAGAGAGAGTAGCTGGGAAGACAGGGACACATCTCAGTGCCTGGCTAATTTTTTTTTTTTTTTTTCTAGAACAGGGTCTCACTATGTTGCCCAGGCTGTTCTCAAACTCCTGGACTCAAGCGATCCTCTTGCCTATGATCCTTCCAGAGTGCTAGGATCATAGGCGTGAGCCACCATGCCCAGCCTAGACGGTCTTGTTTAAAGTTGTGGTCAGTGATTTGAGGTGGATCCCAGTGTGTTGGCAGAGGTGTCACAAAGCACATAGGCAAAATGTTGCTCACATTATTACAAGTATAATTAACAATGCTAGTCATTCATCCCTGACAACTGACTTAAAATTAGGGACACCTACTCATTTAGTTCATTATGAATTTTTGCCTAGTAAACTCACATTTGCAGACAGTTTACAGGGTTTTTCTCCCATTTCTCAATGTGATTTTAACGAGCATTTCTTTGTTTATTGAAAAATTGGAATCTCCATATGCATATTAGCTTTTTGTTTTTGTTGTTGTTGCTGTTGTTGAGACAGGGTCTAGCTCTGTCACCCAAGCTAGAGTGCAGTGGCACTGTATCGGCTCACTGCAATCTCCACCTGCTGGGCTCAAGTGATCCTCCAGCCTCAGCACCCCCAAGCAGTGGGACTACAGACAGGTACAAGCCACTACATCTGTCTAATTTTTGTAATTTTTGTACATATGGGGTTTCACCTTGTTGCCCAGGCTAGTCTCAAACTTCTGAACTCAAGTGATCCACCTGGTTGGGCCTCCCTAAGTGCTAGGATTACAGGCCATGGCCATTTATTGTTCTTCTATGAACACATTTCATTGCCTTTCCTCTCTTCAACCCATCTCCTTTAAACAGTTAATTTGTAAACAGATAACAGGTTCTAAAGCTCTTCTAAGGCAAGTAAATCCTTCTTGATCTAAGTCTTCCATACAGTTTTTTTTCCCTTCCCCACCCACCCTCATACAGTTTCTATGTTAGGTCTCTTACAGTGCCAGAGTCAGGGAGTTTTCAGAAATCTACAGACTCACCAAAGAAGACTAGCCATTTGGAACCCAAGATCCTTAAGAAGACTACCATCTTGTAGTTTAATCTCTTTGGTAAGTCAACATGTTAGGATGATCATATATTCTTTTCAGATCAAGCTTCAAAGCATTTCAAGCCTGAAATACACGGACAATTTGAAGTGCTTAAGGCATTGGATGTACTAGTTTACAAGCTGTCTTTGGTTCCCAAGCTGTATCAGAAGCATCTGAGGCATTTGTCACAAATGCAGATTCCCAGGCTCCAGCCATCCTACCAGATCTCTTGTATCAGGATTTCTAGGGTGGGGCCTAGGAATCTGTATCTTTCACAAGCACTTTAATCAACTGTCAAACTTGTATATAAAAGTCTTCTGGTCTGGGCATGGTGGCTCATGCCTGTAACCCCAGCATTTAGGGAGGCCAAGGCAGGAGAATCACTTGAACTCATAATTTTGAGATCAGCCCGGGCAATGTGGCAAAAATCCATCTCTACAAAAAATTTAAAAATTAGCCAGGCTTGGTGGCTCATACTTGTGGTCCCAGCCACTTAGATGGCTGAGGTGAGAGGATTGCTCAAACCTGGGAGGTCAGGGCTGCAGTAAGCTTTGATTGTACCACCGCACTCCAGCTTGGGCAATAGAGAAGGACCCTATCTCTAAAAAAATAAAAATAGGCCTGGCGCGGTGGCTCAAGCCTGTAATCCCAGCACTTTGGGAGGCCGAGGCGGTGGATCACGAGGTCAAGAGATCGAGACCATCCTGGTCAACATGGTGAAACCCCGTATCTACTAAAAATACAAAAAATTAGCTGGGCATGGTGGCACATGCCTGTAATCCCAGCTACTCAGGAGGCTGAGGCAGGAGAATTGCCTGAACCCAGGAGGTGGAGGTTGCGGTGAGCCGAGATCGTGCCATTGCACTCCAGCCTGAGTAACAAGAGCGAAACTCCGTCTCAAAAAAATAAATAAATAAAAATAAAACTATTCTGGGCACAGATACACCTATGCCCAGAGTAGCTGTAAAAATTAAATTTTTTAATGTTCGTTAGTAGTCTAGTGTGATTTGACTCAGGCCAGCAAATATTTCCTGAACATAGACTGTTTCTCAGGCATCCTGCTGAGCACCAGGATATCAAAGATGAATAAGACATTGTCCAATCTACAAGGAGCTCAGGTTTATAAGAGGAAGATGAACAATCAAAAATGAAACTGGGAAGAGGTGGAACAGGAAGGTGGAATAGAAGGCCCCGATCACCACCCTTGCATAAACACCAAATTCAACAACTATATACACACAAAGAAAGGACCTTTGTAAAAACCAAAAATCAGGTGAGCACTCACAGTACTTGGTTTTAACTTCCTATCACTGGAAGAGGCACTGAAGAGGGTAGGAAAGACAGTCTGTTTTTAACTTTTATTTTAGGTTCAAGGATATAGTACAGGTTTGTTTTATAGGTAAACTCATGTCACAGGGGTTTATTGTACAGACTATTTCATCACCCAGGAATTAAGCCTAGTACCCAATAGTTATTTTTTCTAATCCTCTTCCTCATCCCACCCTCCACTCTCAAGGAAGCCCCAGTATCTGTTCTACCCTTTTTGTGTCCATGTGTTCTCATCATTTAGCTCACAGTGAGCTTATAAGTGAGAACGTGCCATATTTGGTTTTCTGTTCCTGCATTTGATGAGGATAATGGCCTCCAGCTCCATCTATTTCTTGGAAAATACATTGTCTTGTTCTTTTTTATGGCTGCATAGCATTCCGTGGTGTATATGTACCACATTTTCTTTATCCAATCTGCCATTGATGAGATTTAGGATGATTCTTTGTTCTTGCTATTGTGAATAATGCTGGAGTGAACATACATGTGCTTGGGTCTTTATGGTACAACAATTTACATTTTTTTGGGTATATAACCAGTAATGGAATTGCTGGGTTTAATGGTTGTTCTGTTTTTAGCTCTTTGAGGAACCACCGCTCTGCTTCCCACAATGGTTGAACTAATTTACACTCCCACCAACAGTCTATAAGAGAAAAAAGAGTATTGAATTGCGGATGCCATGTTTTCCCCACCCATCCACAGTAGCCACTTGGCATGGAGAAATCTGTGTGATTGGGAGGAGAAAGCAGCAGTTGTGAGGCTTTGCAATGAACTCAGTGCTGCCTTGTCACAGCAGAAAACAAAAACTCAGCCAGTGCCTCCCCTTCTGCCCTCTGAGGGAACATTTACATCAGCTCGACACAGAGGGGAATCATCCATCCCAGCAGTCAGAACTCAACTTCCAGCAAGCCTCACCAGACCACAGCCTGGAGTGCTCTGGGGCTCTAAATATGCTTGAAAGGCAGTTTAGGCCACAAGAACTGTAAATCCTCGCCGGGCACAGTGGCTTACGCCTGTAATCCCATCACTTTGGGAGGCCAAGGTAGGTGGATCACTTGAAGTCAGGAATTCAAGACCAGCCTGGCCAACATGGTGAAACTCTGTCTCTACTGAACTTAGAAAAATTAGCCAGGTATTGTAGTACAGCTTGTGATCCCAGCTACTTGGAAGGCCGAGGCATGAGAATCGCTTGAACCCAGGAGGCAGAGGTTGCAGCGTGAGCTGAGATAGCATTACCGCACTCCAGCCTGGGCGGCAGAGCAAGACTCTGTCTCAGAAAAAAACACACACACACACACACAAATAAAAGCTCTGGTTAGACTAGACCTGTAGTCTCTGAAAAGTAAATGAAAGCATAACTGGATTAGGAATGGAAGTTGAACTGGGCAAAGAAACTCATGTAAAGTTGAGTTTTCTGGTTTGGTTTTTTCCTGTCTCTCCAAGCTCTGAACCAAGAGTGAACACCTACCAGAACTGCAGTATGAACAGCAGAAATTGATTTTAAAAACATACCTTTTTTTTTGAGATGTGGTATTGCTCTTTTTTGCCAGGCTGGAGTGCAGTGGCATGATCTCGGCTCACTGCAACCTCCACCTCCCAGGTGTAAGCATTTCTGCCTTAGCCTCCCAAGCAGCTGGCATTACAGGCTCACACCACCATGCCCAGCTAATTTTGTATTTTTAGTAGAGACGAGGTTTCACCATGTTGACCAGGCTGTTCTCAAACTCTCGACCTCAGGTGATCTGCCTGCCTCAGCCTCCTAAAGTGTTGGGATTACAGGAGTGAGCCACTGCGCCCAGCCAAAAACCTAACTTTTTTGGTCAGGAGACCAAAAAAGGGGTAACTACTTTGAGCAAAAGAGCAGGAGGAATTCTGGAGAGGAGAGGAGAGGAGTGGATTAGAGATCCCATAATTCTGTGCATAAACTGGTAATGGTTCTGGCCTCATCCCTGAGGTACAGATACAGGAGACAGATTGAAAGACACCTAGCGAAGGCTTTGAGAACTAAACTGCAGTATAATCTGCTCTCCAAGCTCCATACTAATGTCAGTGTATACATGTATAGGACAGTCCCAAGGCAGCATTGCCACAGCTTTGAAAACTTAAGCGACATTAGACCCGTGTTCACAGAAGAACTGACAGAACTTAAGCCTGAACCTAACTGGGTTGATTACTCATTTAAAAATCGGTATTCTCCAGAGGATTTTAATAAGATCCATATTCTCACAACATAATATTTAAAATGTCCAAGATACAATCCAAAATACTTGACACACAAAGAATCAGAAGAATTTGACCAGTTTTTAAGGGAAAAGACAACCAGTTTTTAAGAGAAAAGACAATCAACAGATGCCAACCACAAGATGACACAAATGTTAGAATTATCAAGATTTTAAAGCTGTTATAATACATAAAAAATAAACTTAATGAAAAGATAAAATTTTTCAGAAGAATCAACTATAAGAAAAAATCAAACGGAAATTTTCGAAGAAAAAATTACAGTATATAAAATAAAAGATTCAGTACATGTACTAAGCAGCAGAATTGAGAAGACAGAAGAAATCAGTGAACTTGAAGATAGCCCAATAGAAATTATGCCATTTGACTGGTTATATACCCAAAGGATTATAAATCATTCTATTATAAAGACATATGCACATATACATTTATTGTGGCACTGTTTACAGTAGCAAAGACTTGGAACCAAACCAAATGCCCATCAATGATAGACTGGATAAAGAAAATGTGGCACACATACATCATGGAATACTATGCAGCCATAAAAAAGTATGGGGTCATGTCCTTTGCAGGGACATGGATGAAGCTAGAAACTCTCATTCTCAGCAAACTAATACGAGAACAGAACACCAAACACTGCATGTTCTCGCTCATAAGTGGGAGCTGAACAATGCACACGGACACAGGGAGGGAAACATCACACACCAGGGCCTGTTGGGGCTTGTGGGTAGGGGAGGGATAGCACTGGGAAAAATATCTAATGTAGATGACGAGATGATGAATGCAGGAGACCACAATGACACGTATATAACTATGTAACAACATGCACATTGTGCACATATACCCCAGAACTTAAAGTATAATTTAAAAAAAAGAAATTATACCATTTGAAAAACAGGAAGAAAAAAGATTTTAAAAAGAACAGAGCCTCATCAACCTTTAAGACAATGTCAAAATGTGCAGTCATGTCATTGGTGTTCCAGATATTACAAACAGCTTTATTCCTATAAATTTGAGTACTTAGATCAAGTGGACAAATTTCTTTAAAGGGGTAAACTGCCAAGACTTATTAAAGAAGAAAATAGATAACCTGAACACTCCTATGTTTAGTTTAAAAATTGAATTCATAGCTTAAAATGTTCCAGTAGTAAAACTCCAGTCTCATAATTTCACTGGAAAATTTTACCAAACATTTAAGGAAGAAATAATATACTATTTCTCAGAAAAATAGTAGGAAATACTTTCCAGTTCACTTTGGGAAAGGAGTATTACTTTGATACCAAAACCAGACAAACCTGTTACAAGAAAAAGAAAGCTAGAGATCAATACCCCTCATGAACATAAACACAAAAATCTTCTACAAAATATTGAAAAATGTAACAATGTATTAAAAGGACAGTATACAAAAAGATATGTATCTCTCTCTGGACTACTAGAATAAGTGTAATACATATAAACATTATTATTGTGTCCTTATAATAAGCTAACACTGTTTTTTGTTTGCCTGTTCATTTTATTTTTTAGTCCAAGATTTTATTACACCTGGACATTTTATTAGAATATTTCTAAGGTTAAATGAGTATTTTGAATGCTTAGAATTTTAAAAATAGTATTGCTTTTAATATTTAGAATTTTTAAAATAGTATTGCTTTCTATCTAACAGCTCATATTTTTAATCAACTCATTAAAATATGTTTGCTTGCCCTTTAGATGAAAGATAGTAATTATCGGAATTACAGAGGGCGTTAATACATAATTCTGTAATGCTTATTAAAATTTGAACACAATATTTTTATTTTTATTAACATGATAGGTTTTTAAATTTCAACTTGTAAAACTGCAGGTGCAAAAGTGTGGGTGTATTCAATAGTGTTTAAAACATTCCCACCCTAAGCTTTCCGGGCATTATTTGATTGCTGTGTTCCATTGTTAAACAAGCAGCTGGAAAGTCTAGCAGGCAAAGTTGTTAACCTAGTACGTAACTCTTTATCTGTACGTAAGTAATCCATTGATTAAATTTCTATATAATGAATGCTGCTTTTATGATTATTTAAATGATATGTGCTCATTGTGGAAATTTACAAATGCTCAAAAGACCGAAAAAAAATCAAAATATCATTTCCCAGAGACAACCACAGTTAATATTTTGGCTTATTGTTTCTTACTTATAGTTATGCACATATATTTGAATTCATATGATTATTTCTTTGTTTAATCAAAGTAATATATGGACATGCCTAAAACTATAATTTTTTTCCAAATTTACATGATTTTTAGAACACTTTTGTTTTTCTTCAACTTTTTTTTTAGATTCAGGGGCTACATGTGCAAGTTACCTGGGTATACTGCATGATGCTGAGGTTTGGAGGTGCAAATAAGCCCATCACTCAGGTACTGAGCATAGAACCCAATAGTCATTCAACTTTTGCCCCTTGCCCACCCTTCCCCTCAGAAGACCTCAGTTTCTATTGTGCCATCTTGATATCCATAAGTACCCAATGTTTAGCTCCCACTTATAAGTGAACACTCTAATATTCACATTTGCAGTCAAATTTTCGTGTGTTTTAGAGGGAAATGTGTTTTGGCATACTTAATCTTTAGAAGACATTGAATATTACCAAGTAGTTACTTAGAATAAATTAAATCTACTATGATTGTAACACATGAGTGATGTTTCCTGCCAGGAAAACTGCTCTAGAAGCCTCCTTATGACTTGGCATCACTGAGTGACATTTGGTCCAACGAGGCCATAGTTATGGTTATGTGATGGCCATTTTCTGAGGGCTAGTTTGTTTTATAGCACCATCAGTACTCAACAGTAATGGAGTCATAGGTGGAGGGTAACACTTGATAAACAGCAAAGATGAGCTTTAAAAAAATTATCTTACACTTAATGACCAGCAATTAAAATAATAAAACAAGATCCATAGCAAAATTGTGCACAGGTCAGAGAAAATGTAACAAAGAAAATTCTCTATTTATTTTATTTTATTTTATTTTTGTTTTTCTTTACTCTTTTGTCCCCATCATTAAGCATTTTTTTCTGTTTATTTTTTGTTTTTTATTATTTATTGTTTTTCTTTTTTCTATTTATTTGGTTTTTTTTTCTAGAAAATTCTCATAATATTTTGTGAAAAAAACAAATAGGAATATATCTGGTCAAGTTTGACTTTTCTCTAGAATTTTGCAAATCCTAGAACCATGCATACATCAATATAACATGTTGATGAGTTAAAAACAAAAATGAATATGAATCATCCATATTAACATATAATTGTGCAGTTGTCAACAAGTGCATGTTCTCAGATAATTACTTAATAGGGTTATCGTGTCTTTCTGGTGGTTGGTACATCCTTAAGGGTGCACTTGTCAACAAGTGCATGTTCTCAGATAATTACCTAATAGGGTTATCTTGTCTGTCTTTCTGGTGGTTGGGACATCCTTAAGGGTGAGGATTTGGTCTCCTGATCACCCATCTCTATGACTCTCTGCCTGTCATTCTAGAAAAAAAAAAAATCATTCCTTTTTTCCTTGGAGAAATAAGCCAATTAAAACAAATAAAGAAAAAAGAAAAAGTCATTCTTGTATACAGAAAAATCATTCTTAAAATCAATAATTTGATTTGACTTTTTTTTTTTTGAGATGGAGTTTAGCTCTTGTTGCCCAGGCTGGAGTGCAACGGTGCCACCTCGTCTCACTGCAACCTCTGTCTCCTGGGTTCAAGCGATTCTCCTGCTTTGGCCTCCCGAGGAGCTGGGATTACAAGCATGCACCATCACACCCAGCAAATTTTTTATATTTTTAGAGACGGGGTTTCTCCATGTTGGCCAGGTTGGTCTCAGACTCCTGACTTCAGGTGATCTGCCCACCTCGGCCTCCCAAAGTGCTGGGGTTACAGGCATGAGCCACCATGCCCCGCCCATTTTTTACTAAGACAAATCTTTCCAATCTTTCTTGATTTCTCTTGACTTCTGTGACATGTTCCCAAGTAGAAATTCTTCCCTCTACCTCCCTGACCTTGGTTTTAGAGAATGCTGCCCTCCCTTCTTTTTTCTGTGACCACTCTTCTGCCTCCTACTGTTTCTATAACTTAAATGAGGTGTTGATCCCAGGTATGTGATAATAGTTTTCTGTCTTCTCTCTTAATATCTCAAAAATTCCCATTGCTTAAGTGGACATGTCCAGGCTAATAATTCTAAAATAAATCTATTACTTCAGCCCCGAGACTTCCCCAGCCTGAGAGTCCTATGTGCCAAACATTTGCAACAACCACTGAGTCCAGGTCAATAATTCTATGCTTGTTTGTGATTATTCTCACCAAATTATCTTTTCATTCTCATGTCCCTATTTCTAGCAGTGATCCAATTACCCACTGTCTTACCAAAACTTGAAACTTCAATGTCATATTTTATTCAACTCTCTTTCTCATGGTCTTTTCCCACTCATTAGTATATCTATTAATAATCATTACCCAAACTTCAGTGGATTTTTTTCCTGCATTAAAAAGCCTTTTCTTGCCAGGCATGGTGGTTCACACCTATAATCCCAGCATTTTGGGAGGTCAAAGGAGGAGGATCTTTTGAGCCTAGGAGTTCAAGATCCAGCGGGGGCATTATAGTGAGACCTCTCCTCCACAAAAACCTTAAAAAATTAACAAAGCATGGTGTTATGTGCCTGTGGTCCCAGCTACTGGGGAGGCTAAGACACAAGGATCACATGAGCCTGGGAGGTGGAGGTTGTAGTGAGTCAAGACTGCACCACTGAACTCCCAGCTACTCGGGAGGCTGAAGCAGGAGAATCGCTTGAACCCGGAAGGCGGAGGTTGCAGTAAGCCTAGGTTGCACCATTGCACTCCAGCCTAGGCAACAGAGTTGGAACAGGGTTGAGACAGGGTTTCAATTTGGGAGGCTGAAGTAGGAGAATCGCTTGAACCCGGAAGGTGGAGGTTGCAGTGAGCCTAGGTTGCACCATTGCACTCCAGCCTGGGCAACAGAGTTTGAACAGGGCTGAGACAGGGTTTCAATTTGGGAGACTGAAGCAGAAGAATCACTTGAACCCGGAAGGTGGAGGTTGCAGTGAGCCTAGGTTGCACCATTGCACTCCAGCCTGGGCAACAGAGTTTGAACAGGGCTGAGACAGGGTTTCAATTTGGGAGGCTGAAGCAGAAGAATCACTTGAACCCGGAAGGTGGAGGTTCAATACGGTGAAACCTTTTCTTCACCTGCCACGCATTGATTTCTTAAAACTAACTTGGTAATTCACTGTGAATACCTCAGGAAGGATGATAAGAACTCTGAATCATTGATCTACTTCTAAATCAGCGATCTAAGGGCAATCAGGAAAGCGATGTTTAAAAGTTTATAGCATAATAAATAAACACTACTGACAACTAGCTCTTAAGTTCTTTTTACAGCACAATATTTGAGACCCAGTTTTGACTCTCATTGGCCACTTGGCAGGAAATGCACAATATACTTCGCCCTGTTGGTGGGGTGGTGTGGAACTCCACGGCATGTCCGAAGAGAAGCCATGTATTTGCAATATCACCTCAGGCTCCTGTTCACAAGATGCTAGACAGAATTTACCTAAATATAGTAAATCTGCCATTCCTCTGATCTGGGGGAGTTTTTTTGTTTGTTTTCTTTGAGATATATCTATGAAGAATTGATGGTGTAGTATAATAATTGCTATTCACAACAACCATTTAAAGAATCCTTTTATGTATATGCATTAATTTGTTCTTCCCCTTTTTTCATGCCCTTGGTCTCCAGAAGAGTACTTACAATTCAAAAGAACATGTCCAGATGCAGTGGCTCATGCCTGTAATCCCAGCAGTTTAGGAGGCGGTGGCAGGTGGATCATGAGGTCAGGAATTCAAGACCAGCATGGGCAACATGGTGAAACCTTGTCTCTACTAAAATACAAAAAACTAGTTGTGTGTGGTGGCAGACATCTGTAATCCCAGCTACTGGGTGACAGAGTGAGACTCTGTCTCCAAAAAAAAAAGAAGAACATTTAAGTTCTTAGAAATAAGCATGGTTGGCTGGGCGTGTTGGCTCACACCTATAATCCTAGCACTCTGGGAGGCCAAGGTGGGTGGATTGCCTGAGGTCAGGAGTTCAAGACCAGCCTAGCCATCATGGTGAAACCCCGTCTTTAAAAAAAAGAAAGAAAGAAAGAAAGAAATGAGCGTAGTTGGGAAGACAAACAAGGCTGAGGGAACATAGATCCTGTTAATGTTACTTATAAACCTTTGGAGTTTTAAGAAAGAGTGTCTAATTAATAATCCATCTTTTAATGTAGGGCTCAGAAATGAAAGGTAAAAATAGAACATTTTATAACAAAATATTCTGCACCACATGAGGTGAAGGTGGTGTTTCGTGAAGTGGGAATTCTTGTTCCTGCTTGGCAGGGTTGGAAACTGACATTCAAGAAGGTTAGGAATGTGCTAAAGGTTGCATGAATCCCTAAGTCAGTTGTCAAATTCAGATCTTGTTTTATTTATTTTTTTTTTTGAGATGGAGTCTTGCTCTGTTGCCCAGGCTAGAGTGCAGAAGCACGACCTCAGCTCACTGCAACCTCCACTGGGTTCCAGCGAATTCTCCAGCCTCAGCCTCTGGAGTAGCTGGGATTATAGGTGGATGCCACCATGCCCAGCTAATTTTTTTTTGTATTTTTAGTAGAGATGGGGTTTCACCCCATTTGCCAGGCTGGTCTTGAACTCCTGACCTCAGGTGATTTGCCCTCCTCAGCCTCCCAAAGTGCTGGAATTACAGATGTAAGCCACTGAGCCTGGCCAGATATTGTTTTAGATTTCGTGTTCTCTCTATTGCATATAAACTGCTCCATTCTAAAAATCAGTCAATCAAAATATTTTGGAACAATAGTAAAAATAACCACTAATAAAATTTGCAAAAGTTCTAAATACAATTTTACTTAGAATAACGTAACACTGGACCGGGCATGGTGGCTCATGCCTGTAATTCCAGCAGCTTGGGAGGCTGAGGCAGATGGATCAGCTGAGGCCAGGAGTTCTAGACTATCCTGGCCAACATGGTGAAACCCCATCTCTACTGAAAATACAAAAAATTAGCCAGGCATCGTGGTGTGTGCCTGTAATCCGTTACTTGGGAGGCTGAGGCAGGAGAATTGCTGGAACCCAGGAGGTGGAGGTCACAGTGAGCCAAGATCTCCTGCACTCCAGCTTGGCTGACAAGAGGGAACTCTGTCTCTAAATAAATAATTAATTAATTTAAAAAATAAAAATTTAAACTTTTATTAAAAAGTTGAGTTTAGGTTGCTAACTGCCAGCTAAGTGGGCACTGTATTCACAACACACACACCCAGGATTGATAAGGATCTTCCTCAGCCGGAGAGCTCAAACAGATGACAACAGAAGTGTTAATCATTTCCTTACTAAGCAATCTTAGTCACAGGTTCCTGCTAAAAGTGAAATCACTCCCTCGGGTTTAAACACAGTTGAAAATGTTTAACTTAGTTGCAGTTTCTTCCTTCTAGGTTAAGCACGTGGAAATTTGTTTGGCAATTCTTTTTACAGCATTATTTCCATTTGTTACTCCCACAAGCTGGAGTTTATCTGACTGGGTGGTGCATGGAAACTTCAGGACAAAATTTAATGGCCAAAGGCTGAGTGAAATTTACCCTGACTGTAGTTATGAAAAGGGTAAGTGAATAAACCTCTTTGTTGCACTTATGTTTATTTTCTCTTATGCTAGATTTTATACACCACAAAATGCACAAAGCATAATGTTGCAATTATAGTTGACCATTTAGATTTTCCTGATAACTACATTTAAGCGATCACAGGCTAAAACCAAGAAATTAAAATGCACAATGAAGCATGCATGGCAAAATTGCTTCAGTTTTTTCTTGGAAAAAAAATTGTTTTTATTAATTAAACCACTTGCTTTGTTAATTGAACAGTTATTGAAATGTCTTTCTGCATTGATGTAACATCGGACTGTTCGGTAAATAGACTAGACACAATTTTATGGGAACAAAAAGACATAAATAATTTTATTATTGGAATTAGTCAAGCTGGAAACTGAATGGAACATCTAGAGGCAGGATTGAAATGTGAAATGATTTTGGTTCAAATAGAAATATTGTTTTATGCTGTGTGTTTCTATTTAGCAAATGATTTTTGTTTGTTTCTTGAAATCTGTTTGAAATAGATTTTTCATGACAGTTTGATAAAGAAAATCTATATCAATATCTCAATTCTTTTCTTTCCTGAAAAGGAAAATCATATTTGGTTATAACAGAAGGAATTTCATTAGAAAAATACGGATTCTACTATTGCCCATTCAATTGTGATAATATTTATTTTAAGAAAAATACAGATTATTCTTCTTTGAGGCATGAACAGTCCTGGGCACATAGAAGACTTTGTGTTAATAGCTATTGATTATTTATCTTTTTTAAAAAACACAGAATTTATACTAATGGATTTTAGAAGATATGTTTAAGTCGTTTATATAAGATCTTATTAAATATTCAATAAATCAGTAGTGAATCAAAAAGGAAGTAGATCGACTTTTTACGTGTAAGGAATTTAAATCACATCTTTCCTCCTGTGATTCAAAACTAAATTAACACTTTTCTTCTGAGTGCTTATAAAATTATAGGGACTATAAATTATTATATTTTGTTTCTTTATTTATTTATTTTGAGACAGAATCTCGGTCTGTTGTCCAGGCTGGAGTGCAGTGGCACAATCTTGGCTCACTGCAACCTTCACCTCCCAGGTTCAAGTGATTATCCTGCCTCAGCTTCCTGAGTAGCTGGGATTATAGGTGCATGCCACCACGCCCTGCCAATTTTTGTATTTTTAGTAGAGACAGAGTTTCATCATGTTGGTCTTGAATTCCTGAACTTGTGATTTGCTGGCCTCAGCCTCCCAAAATGCTGGGATTACAGATATAAGCCACTGAGCCCCACCAGTGATAAAATTTTTTTTACAACCACATTGCCAATTATTATAAAAACCTGGAAACAACCAAGTCTTAATTAACAGAGTAGTGGTTAAATACAATGAAATATTACATACCTCATAAAAAAAGAATGAAGTCAATCTGTACTTAAAAACATGAAAACAGTCTAAGTGATATTGCTAAGGAAAAAAAGCAAGTTTCAAAAAATAGTATACTATATTACTATTGTTTATTCAACTGAATAAATACCAGTATTTACATTTACAGTGTTTGTAGGAATAGTCATCAAACCATTTAAAGTGGTCTTTTTGGGGGATTAAATGAGAAAGTTTACTTTTTACTTTGTAGACACTAGAAAGTAATTGATAGGGACTTCGTTTTATTTATTGCTAAAACCTCAGTGTCTTCAATAGTGTCTGGCACCTAATAGGCACACAATAAATAATGTTGAGAGAATAGATTTCTGCAATATTTATTTATGTTGTAATATTTAAAAGCATAAAAATTAGCACAATCAATTTGTAAGCAGATAAAATCCAAAAAATACCTTTCAAAAACATATTAAAATAAATGGTAGAACCTCTTTCTATTTTAATTTTAATTTAATTTAATTTAATTAATTAATTGATTTTTATAGAGATAGGATTGCCCTATGTTTCCCAGGCTGGTCTCGAACTCCTGGGCTCCAGTAATCCTTTTTTTTTTTTTTAATTGCATTTTAGGTTTTGGGTTACATGTGAAGAACATGCAAGATAGTTGCATAGGTACACATGTGGCAGTGTGATTTGCTGCCTTTCTCCCCTTCACCTATATCTGGCATTTCTCCCCATGCTATCTCTCTCCAACTCCCCACCTCCCACTGTCCCTCCCCTATTCCCTCCAACAGACCCTAGTGTGTAATTCTCCCCTCCCTGTGTCCATGTGTTCTCATTGTTCAACACCTGCCTATGAGTGAGAATATGCGGTATTTCATTTTCTGTTCTTGTGTCAGTTTGCTGGGAATGATGGTCTCCAGGTTCATCCATGTCCCTATAAAGGACACGAACTCATCGTTTTTGATGGCTGCATAATATTCCGTGGTGTTTATGTGCCACATTTTCCCTGTCCACTCTATCATCAATGGGCATTTGGGTTGGTTCCAGGTCTTTGCTATTGTAAACTGTGTTGCAATGAACATTCATGTGCATATGTCCTTATAGTAGAATGATTTATAATCCTATGGATATATACCCAGTAATGGGATTGCTGGGTCAAATGGAATTTCTATTTCTAGGTCCTTGAGGAATCGCCACACTGTCTTCCACAATGGTTGAACTAATTTGCCTCCCACCAGCAGTGTAAAAGTGTTCCTATTTCTTCACATCCTTTCCAGCATCTGTTGTCTCCAGATTTTTTAATGATCACCATTCTAACTGGCGTGAGATGGTATCTCAGTGTGGTTTTGATTTGCATCTCTCTGATGACCAGTGATGATGAGCATTTTTTCATATGTTTGTTGGTCTCATGTATGTCTTCTTTTGTAAAGTGTCTGTTCATATCCTTCGCCCACTTTTGAATGGGCTTGTTTTTTTCTTGTAAATCTGTTTTAGTTCTTTGTAAGTTCTGGATATCAGCCCTTTGTCAGATGGGTAAACTGCAAAAATTTTTTCCCATTCTGTTGGTTGCTGATTCACTCTAATGACTATTTCTTTTGCTGTGCAGAAGCTGTGGAGTTGGATTAGGTCCCATTTGTCTATTTTGGCTTTTGTTGCCAATGCTTTTGGTGTTTTGGTCATGAAGTCCTTGCCTACTCCTCTGTCCTGAATGGTTTTGCCTCGATTTTATTCTAGGGATTTTATGGTGTTACATCTTATGTTTAAGTCTTTAATCCATCTGGAGTTAATTTTAGTTTAAGGTGTCAGGAAGGGGTCCAGTTTCTGCTTTCTGCACATGGCTAACCAGTTTTCCCAACACCATTTATTAAACAGGGAATCCTTTCCCCATTGCTTGTTTTTGTCAGGTTTGTCAAAGTCCAGTGATTCTTTAGCGTCAACCTCCCTAAGTGTTGGGATTACAGGCATGAGCCACCATACCCAGACAGAACCACTTTCAAAGCTTCTACTCCCTCTTCTCTTTAGGTTACTTCTTCTTTCCCACTTTTTGCTGGATATTCTCTCCTTTTTCTTTTTCTTTCTTTCTTTTTTTTTTTTTTTTTTTTTTGAGGCAGTCTCGCTTGTCATTCAGCTGGAGTGCAGTGGCGTGATCTCGGCTCACCGCAACCTCCCTTCTTGGATTCAAGTGATTCTCCTATCTCAGCCTCTCAAGTAGCTGGGATTACAGGCACCTGCCACCATGCCTGGCTAATTTTTCTATTTTTAGTAGAGACGAGGTTTCACCATGTTGGCCAATCTAGTCTTGAAATCCTAACCTCAGATGATTCACCGGCCTCAGCCTCCCAAAGTGCTGGGATTACAGGTGTGAGTCACCACACCTGGCCCACTCCCTCCGTTTTCTAGCTAATTTTTGTTCAAAGGGAAATAAAAATATTATGGTGACTGTGTTTACTTAAGATTTTCTGCCTAGGCTTCTTACTTTGACTTTGATTTCCATCCTTAGGAACTCATACATCTAACATCCCAGATTTCTACTTATCTTTTTTGTTTGTTTGAGAAGGAGTTTCTCCCTTGTTGCCCAGGCTAAAGTGTAATTGCATGATCTTGGCTCACTGCAACCTCTGCCTCCCAGGTTCAAGTGATTCTCCTGCCTCAGCCTCCCAAGTAGTTGGGATTACAGTCATGCGGCACCACGCCTGGCTAATTTTGTATTTTTAGTAGAGACAGGGTTTCTCCAGGTTGGTCAGGCTGGTCTCAAACTCCCAGCCTCAGGTGATCCACCTGCCTTGGCCTCCAAAAGTGTTGGGATTACAGGCATAAGCCACCTTCCCAGCTAGTTTCTTTTTTTTTTTTTTTTGAGACGGAGTTTCGCTCTTGTTACCCAGGCTGGAGTGCAATGGCGCGATCTTGGCTCACCGCAACCTCTGCCTCCTGGGTTCAGGCAATTCTCCTGCCTCAGCCTCCTGAGTAGCTGGGATTACAGGCACGTGCCACCATGCCCAGATAATTTTTGTATTTTTAGTAGAGACGGGGTTTCACCGTGTTGACCAGGATGGTCTCGATCTCTTGACCTCGAGATCCACCCGCCTCAGCCTCCCAAAGTGCTGGGATTAGTTTCTACTTATCTTTTTCTGTACATGACATCTTTCCAATATCATGGCCAACTGTGAAGAATACAGACTGTCTTGTGACCCTTTCTTTCCCCGATGCCTAGCACAGGGCCTCATACACAGCAGGAGTATGTGTTTTTATTTTTTATTTTTTTGCTGGATATTCTTTTTACAAACATTTGTGCCATTCTTAATAATAGTATACTACTATAGTCCTTCCTTCTAGACCATGTATTGTATCCAATAGACACTGAATATATGTTTGTTGAATGAATGGTTGATGCTTGACTCTGGCACATAATCTCTGTGTATATGAGTGGTTAGATTTAGTTCTGAAGGAGATGGAATGAGGCTGTATTGACTTGGGATTTTTTGGGTTGCCAATAACAGAACACTTGATTAAATTTGGCAGAAGCAGAAACAGAAGATAATTTATTGGCTTAAATAGCAGTTTAGTGGTGCACCTGGCTTAAGAAATAGCAAAACACTGGCTCAAAATGATCTGTCTCTTTGTCTGTCTGTTATTCC